AGGATGGCAATGGCAAATCCTCTCTGAAGAAACTTGCCAAGAAAACCTTATGGTCTTAGGGTCACCATAAGTAAAGTCTTATGCTAGGTCTTAGGGTCACAATAAGCAAAAAACAACATGGAGGCACACAACAACAGCAACAACAAAAAGTCCTCCATAGTGCCAAGCAGACACAGAGCACTCATTCCCATACAAAACTGCAAAAAGAAACCAAGACTAGGAATGGGAATGATCTGAGATACTATGTTTAGTCTTACATAAACACTACCTGCTATAAATTTTAAAAACAATGTGTGGGGAGTAAATATATGCATATTTTGCTTTATATATGTTATTTATCATTCAAAAATAAAATATTCTAAGATTCAGTTTTTCTCAATACTTCTGTAGGGGGCGCCTTTAAAAAAACAATCACCCTCCTCCCTCCCCATTTTTTCTCTTTTGTTTTTCCTAAGCCTTCATATCACTAACACATAACCATCATAAAGACTTCTAAAAAATATCTACTGAAGCAAGAGTATCACTTTGGCTAAAACTAATTAAGAAATCAACAGTTTACTGATGTTAGTAATGAAAAGGCAGTGGTAAAATCCTTCTAATATATTTTTTATTTTTTTAAAGTATAAGGTGTTGTTTTCTATTAACAATTTATTTCAATAATGCTTATGATTACTGATAACAATAACAACAAATGAGTTAACAGTACTTTTATATTGTTATGTATTGGTATATTTGGGGTTAATGTCTCATGAAAGGGGAACTATATATTTCTTAGAAAATACAAGGAAGTAACATAGAATAGAAAATGAACGCAAAATCTTGTATACAAATAAGCCAGGCCTAGGAGTGGGTGTTGGGACTTTGAGAGCTGGAAGTGGAAGCTGAGGTGGAACTATGGAGAGATGAAATACAACTGAAATTGAAGAGAAGTGAAGAAGACAAAAGGTAGAACAGAAAGATGAAGCCAACAAGAAGGGAGTCAGAAGCAAAGAAATACCCAGAGTGTGAAGCCTGATCTGTAGGAAAACAATTTGAAGAAATGCATGCTAGCAGCCCTCTGGAAAGAACTGTTTGCCTGAGAAGAAAAAGAACATGCCATAGGTACGCATGCCACCCATATCTTAGGTCAAATCCTTCTGGTTTCAAGATTTTTTTGTCTTCTAACTTTACCCATTCCTGTATCCAGTTTAGAGCCGCCGCCTGGTAATATAATTCTAGATCCGGTAAACCACACCCTCCATTCTCTTTTTTATCTGTCAGATTCTTCCATATTATACAAGGTTTTTTGCCTTCCCAAACAAACCTTTTCAATTCCCTATTCCAAGTTATAAACGGTTTGCTATTGTGTATTATTGGTAAGTTGATAAATAAGAACATTAGTTTAGGCAGAATAACCATTTTAATGACTGCAATTCTTCCATATAGTTTTAATCTGCTCCAATTTAACAAGTCCTTTTTTATTTCTTGCCACATTTTTAAATAATTTGAATCAAACAGCTCCGTGTTCTTTTTAGATATACAAATGCCTAGATATCTAGTTTTAACGATCTTACATTGTGTTTTCTCATTTAATGTCTGTTCTTCTTTAAGTGA